GATGAATGTACTCTAATACATGGTAACTCTCAGAATGAGCTACAAATGAATCAATCTCACATGCATAATTTTGACTGAAAAAGGCAAGACACGTAAGAATGATTGCAGTTTGACACAGTTTACAAAAGCTAGCCAAAACTAAAATATGTCATTCATTGAAACATAAGAAGTAGCAAAATTAGCCGAAACCGGTTTGGCTCAGTGGTAGAGCATCAGTCTGAGGACTGAAAGGTCCTAGGTTCGATTCCGGTCGGGGGCATGTACGTTGGTTGCAGGCACATCCCCATTAGGGGGTGTGCAAGAGGCAGCTGGTCGGTGTTTCTCTCTCATCAACATTTCTAGCTCTCTATCTCTCTCCCTTCCTCTCTGTAAAAAAAAAAAAAAAAAAAAAAAAAAAAAAGAAGTAGCAAAATTATAAAGATCCAATCTAATAAAGAGGGAATATGCTAATTGAGCCTCACACTATTATAAAGATGGTGGTGCCCACAGCCAATAAGGAGGGAACATGCTAATTGACTGTTCCGCCCTCAAAGATGGTGTTACCCATAGCCAATAAGGAGGGAATATGCTAATTGACTGTCACACCCTCAAAGATGGAGGTGCCCAAAGTCACAAGATGGCAGCATCCAGTCCCCTCAGCCCCACCAGGGTGGCAGGTGAGCAACAACTCAATTTGTTACATTGAGAAACCCTGTTTTTGTTTTTTTAAATATTATTGATTTTACACAGAGAGGAATTGAGAGGGATAGAGAGTTAGAAATGTCAATTAGAGAGATACATCGACCAGCTGCCTCTTGCACACCCCCCACTGAGGATGTGCCCGCAACGAAGGTACGTGCCCTTGACCGGAATCGAACCCAGGACCTTTTAGTTCGTAGGCCAACACTCTATTCACTGAGCCAAACCGGTTTTAGCTACATTGACAAACTCTGTACACCTGCCTCTGGAGTTCCACAGTCCCCTCGCCCCCCCACTGCCCAGGGCTGGCCGAGGCTTGCACTGCTGGCAGTGGCAGCAGCAGTGGTGTGGTGGGGCATTGCCATCCCCTGATTGCCAGGTTGCCTCCCACCCCTGAGGGCTCCTGGACTTTGAGAGGGGACAAGCCAGGCTGAGGGACCCCCCTACAGTGCATGAATTTTCATGCACTGGGCCTCTAGTTTGCAAATAAGTGTCTACTATAAAAATCAAGACAGTCATTACCACTTAGGCAATGCAGACATTTTGTATCAAGAATGATACACAAGTAGAGTATATCCTTTTGGCAATATTCTAATTCTTTTTTATTAATCCTCTCCCAAGTATATGTTTATTGATTTCAGAGAGAGAAGAGGAGGTTATGATGGAGAGAGAGAGAGGAACATCTATTGGTTGCCTCCCATATATACCCTCCCCCACCCCCAGGACCAGAGATTAAAGCCACAACCCAGGTATGTGCCCTAACCCAGAATCAAAAACCCACAACTTTTTGGTGTATGGGATGATGCTCCAACCAAATGATCCACCTGGGTAGGGCAGCAATGTTTTAATTCTTGAGCCTCCAATAGTTGGCAACATTATCCTCTGTGGTCTTCCATTGTGACTAACACTTCCCAACAGAAAATGGGTGTCTGTGACTGCTCAGAGAAGTAGTAAAGGAAGTTAACTAGGTCATAAATAAGATAAAGCTTCTATATATTTACCCTTGGAACCCAATTTCCATGGTGTGAGGATGTCTTAGAAAAGAGACCTTATGGAGAGACTGCATGGAGAGAACCGAGGCCTTCAGCCAACTGCCAACACTCATCACCAACCTCATGAGTGAATAAGCCTTCCAGTTTTCAGGCTGAGGGATCTATAACTCAAAGAGAAATTTACTTCTATTTAAAAATTTGGAGTCATCATAGGGGCTTGCTAAATATATCTTAAATTGAAGTGACTCAGACCAAATCTCCTTAAGCCCTGCCTCTATATCAATCTTGGATAGAGGGCTGGTAAGTCATAAGTTCTAGGGAGGCTTTTGCACAAAGCTCAACAGAGATCCCTCCCTTGTTTACTCGATAAAAATGAATATTTATAATGCTAGGTCTTATTATGTCACTCCTAATTCAAACCTTTCTTGACACCCACTGCCTATCATATCTATTAAAAACACTTAATATTTTTTGGTTAAGTTGTAGACTTCTTTCAAACCCTTAATTTTAATAATTTTAAAATGTACATTTACACTCAATAACTATTAGTGAAAAGTATGATTTAATAAGTTAATGAAGAACTTTGGAATAGGAGATCTAAGCCTTTTAGTTCAAGCAGTCATTGATATGCTACAGAGAAAGCACCTGGAAGTTGAAGTTCATTTCACTTTATTAAAAAAAAAAAAAAAAAAAATCCATAAAAGAGAAATAAAATTCCTGCCACCCACATTCAATAGGATACTACAAAGATTAATGAGGTAATGCAATAAGAAGTGCTTTGAACTATTCATATGAATGGTGATTTACAGAGGTACTTTATTGTAATTATTCTCTGCATTTACCTTTACTACCATATCTACAAAATTTGGACTAGAAAAGAGAGTAACTCTCTACTATATAAAAGTTATTTCAAAGTCATCGGTTCTGATTTTAACTGGTATTTTTTTAAATATAATTAAAATCCTCACCTTATACAATTTGTATCTCTGATGAACGTAGTGAGTTGAACTAATATATTTAAAGTGACTGGTTCTTGGTAAGACCCTAGTAAATGCTTGCTTTTTTACTGTTTATAGTCAAAATAGTCACAGTAGAAAGTTTTTTAGAAGTTATAATAGTGCAACTTACAGGAGTCTCTGGAAAAAGAGGGCAGATCAAAGAAGCCAATTAAAGTTAGAATGTTTACATGTAATATACTATCCAGAGTAGGGAAACATTATATTCTTGAATGATAGTGACTGAACATTTTTTAGTTACCTACTGTCCAATCACATCACAGTTAAAAATTGAACTTTCAAAAACAGTTAAAATAAAATTGCTCAAGAATCTCATCACTAAGTGATCATTATTGAAACATTTTCAGTTTTGGAACATGTGAGGTATAACCTCAAAACATATCTAATTTATTCAAATAGTAATGAATTAGATATGTTAATAGTCATAATATGTTGACTGTTAAGTCCTGGTAGTAAATCTATATTTATCACACTAAGTCTATAAGCATCATGTTTTCTAATTTCAAAATATATTATAAAAAAAGCTACAGTAATCAAAAGTTTGGTAACTGGTATCTATATAATAAAGGTGTAATATGTTAATTATACCAGATAGCTGAACAACCTTCTGGATGTCCTTCCAGACGACCATCCGGATGAAGCCAGGGCTGCAAGGGCCCAGGCAAGCCACCCCAGCTGTGAGGGCTGAGCCCTTTGCACGAATTTTGTGCATTGGGTCTCTAGTAAAATCATACATATTGATCAGTAGAAGAAAGAGAGTCCAGATATAAACCCATACATATATATTGTCAACTGATCTTCAGCAGGGTAGCAAAAGGTCCTATATCCCATTTCCTATCCTTGAACCATCTACTACAGTAATGTGCTTTTCTCTTTAAAATGTCTGAAAAGATGTAAAATGACCCTGTGCTTATAGAATTTTAAAATTTTCATTTTAAGGAATCAAAATAAATTTGTTCTATGAGCAAGTTTTTAAATTTGGCTTAAGGTAGTACTGATTCAGGGAACAAGCAATCTCCTTCCAACTCGCTCTTTCAACCTGTCTCTTGGTCCAAAGTGAACCAATGAACTCAGGACCCAAAATATTGTGTCTTAGAAATCCATTTAGAAAACAATTGCTCCATTCAAAGTTCATTTCCTTCTCTTATCAGAAATTGCTTGAAATGTAATTTTGCAGCAAGCACTTCATATCTTGTCTTGAAAAAGACTGAGCTAAATGTAAAGTCAATGATTAGATAAATGTAATGTCTTGGGTTGGTGCCACAATGCAATATTCCATGGTGTGGTCAGTACTGATGGATGCTTTGTATAGTTACTCAGCTGTATAATGGGACAGATTCCCATGACTCTAAAATACCTTGTGACTTTTCTCAATTAATATTACCAAAAGTACTTTGGCACAAATACAAAGAGCATGAGGAATTAGTGCTGAGCATGCAGGTGCAGTCCTCTTTTGCTCTGTACAGAGACTGTCCTTTATACAATAAACTGTATCTGTGTATAATTTATTTACTGAGCTGCATTGTGTGAAATAAGTAACACAACAAAGATCATTCCTCTTTCAAAAATCACTTTTATAAGGTTACAAATAAAAAGCCTGTGCTAAGAAATCTCAAATAGTACAGTTAAAGATTAACACACATAACATGGGCATGCACATAAGCACTTCAGCTATAGACAAGGATTGTTTATGGAGTCTCTTTATTTTAATGGCAATAAAAGTGTTTCTCTCTGCTATCATGATGTGCTTCATTCAATATAAAATAGGGCAGAAGGAGAGAGATAACTTTCTTTGGTAAGTAATTTAAAAAAAAACCAGAATATTGATATTGCTCTTAGAAAATGTATTTTTGGAAATGAAGAGGCTAAATTTTCTCACAGACTGGTACCCAGATTGCATAACACAAGAAGGAATCAAATGACACAATGATAAACACCTCTTGTAAAGCTCCGATGCCTGTTCTTAGGTGGTTATATATCACTGTTACATACTAGAAATCTATGATTATCGGGAAAGATATCCAGTCACTACCATGTGTTTCAGTGAACAAAATGAGACATTTCTACAATTTACCTCTTTTAAATGAAAATACTTAATATTTTCTAACATATATAACAAATAATTATTAAAATAAACCCAGCAACATTTTATTTCCTAGGGTCGTTAGGTGCAGCACAGGATAGTTTGTGATTTAGAAAGATTTGTTGTCTCTTCTATTGAAGTATATGCAATCAACTACTTACAACACTTCAAATAATTTTTATAATGGAGTATTTTTCAATTAGTATTCACATTCATCAAAATCCCATAATGGTGCTTGTTTTGGCAACACATATACAAAAATTAGAATGATACCAAGAAAATTAATGTATCTCCTGCAAATAAGGATGACATGCAAATTTGTGAAACGTTTTACATACACACAAAACTATGACATCTTGTTCCATGTCATGAAAAAAATGTTGATGCATTGTTGGAGGTATATGCTTATGACCTTAATTTACAAAAATGTCAGACTATAGCTATAGTGTAAATTTTTAATTTTATAAAATTTAAATAACCTTTAAAATAATTTTTCTTTATAAATAGCTGTTTAAAATAATTCTCCCTCAAAAATGTTTGAGCTTTTTCTTTGCATTGATAGAATTCTATACTCATACAATGTTGTGTTTTAGTGCAGTTATTTTCTTTCTTTCTCTCTCTCTCTCTCTCTCTCTCTCTCTCTGAAACCTTTTTTTTCTATTTATGGGGTTATAAACTGCATAATAAGGGCATATCTTGGCTGATACTATTTTAATAATTTGGGCTGGTACTTGCTTAATTACTCATCAAACATCATACAATCATGTTTGTTTGTTTTTTTCCAGTCTAAGGACTCTCATGAATTATATTTTTGCTAATTTTCCCACATTCCACTTCTCTAATAATCTAGTTCTTTAGAAAATATTTAAACATATGGAAAGTTTCTCCACTATTTTCCATCTCTTTGCCTTTCCCCCAATTTCCTCCATTTTATCTTCCAAACTTCTCACTAAATTTTCCCCCAAAAAAAGTATCCAAGTCTATTGCTTTGGATGCAATAAATATATTTTCTTTTCTTCTTGATGATACAAGGTATAGATTTTTATCTTGCTTTTGTGTATTGTTTTCTTCTCTTCCCTGCATTCCCTCCACTTCTTCTGGTTTTTGCATGTGTTTCTTGTTGGAGGCTCCACAAAAGGTGGTAAACAAGTTTTAATTGCTAAAGAACTAGCACGGGATTTGCAATTATAATGCTTAGGAATCTAGGGTTATTGCCAGAAAAGAATACAAAATAAGCACTAAACTAAGGAAATGCACCTCAACCAAAAGCTGCCTCGCCTCGGATGAGGGGGATGCCAGGAGCTCTCTCTGATTGCCCACCGTCTGCAGGACTGTAGTGGGTGTGCTTCCTCAAATCAGAAACGCCAAGCTAGGCCCTGAACACCTGGCACCCAGGGGACGGAGGCATATTTCTGTGATGCAGAGCTTGGGGGGAGGGAGGAGGGAGAGGGGATGGGGAGGTCTCACTTACACCAGGTGTAAAGTGCCCTCTCCCCATTACCAATAAGCAATGCTCACAAGCCAGTACAAACCACCAGGAACTCATCATGGCCCCTGGGACTAAAGCAACACGATTAGCGCCATTCGCGCTCCTCCACCGGTCAGTGCTGTCCGGGCACACCTGTTACTTCAGCCGCACAGCGCCCGCTAACCCGGCACCCAGAGCTAAGCCCCGCAGCAGAGGCTTTTTCCTCTAAAAAGTGAGAAAGGAAAATACCCACTGAGACCCTGGGTACAGGGCATGACTTACTTCTAAATCCCGCACGCAGTCATTTTCTTTGGAGACTTCCACACGGAAACTTGTAGGACCTCAGGAGCTGAGGTCTACGGCAAGTTTCCACACCTCCAGAAGCCAGAAGCCGCCTTTACGTTCCCGCGGGGCTACCCTCGCGAGGCAGCAGGGGCCGAAGTCTAGCGATATTTCCCCCCAATCCCTGCGCCCTCCCGCTTACTCTTCCCGCCGGAGACGTGGCCTTGAAGGCCCTCCGCTGTGGGCTTTAGCCGGGGCCTTAGCCGCTGGCCTTTCGCCCTGGCTTTCACAGGAGTTACTCTGTTGGCAATTGCTGACGTTTTTTACAATTGTTGCTTCTGACACGCAATTGAGAGAAGTATTTTCAATTCTCACCTCGAACAGCCCCAGATGTTACACATTAACAGGTTAAAGTGGCCTGGCTGGCTTGGCTCAGTGGCTGAGCATGGATCCATGAACCAAGAGGTCAGGGTTCGATTCCCAGTCAGGGCACATGCCCAGGTTGCGGAGCTGGATCCCTGATAGTGGCCATGCTCGAAGTCCCTGATCAATGATTCTCTTTCATCATTAATGTTTCTATCCCTCTCCTCTCCCTTCCTCTCTGAAATCAATAGGAATATATTACAAAACAAAACAAAACAAAACAAAAAGATAAAGTGGTTTTCATGAAGATTATCTTAACCTGACAATTATTGAAGCAAAACTGATGATGTATCAACACTCCCTTATTAAGACTATGACTACAGGGCCACTTCTGTAGTGCCATCTACAATCCTCTGTTGAAGATGCTTTTTTCCATACAATGTTTACTCTATCAGGGTGAAGATGTGAAGAAAACACTACATGGATTTGCATTCCCAGGATTTTCCCACGTGAAATTTAAAACATTTTTCTTTCAAGGCTTTGTCCTACTGCACGGGGAACATTATATACCAAGAACAAGGGAAAGGGTGAAGAGCCTCTTGTTGCCCAGATCCAGGTAAAGGGTCAATCAGCGGTCATGTCCTCCCAACCCAACTATTGGATATGTGGGCAGTAGCCCTCTCTAGCATATTAGTGGGCCCTTTGCAAAAAGATAATACCATCAGGTAATATGCCACATCAAGACTTCCACTTCCTCCCCTGTTTCAATGATGCATGTGCCATCCTAGGTATAAAGTGTTTCAACATGTCCAGCCTGCAGCAGGGTAGTGAGATCCCAGTGAGGATTGGGTGCAAAGTAACCCACTCATCCCATTGGGATTTCCCATTGCAAATTCCAGTAGATGTCCCCTTCCCCAGGAATGATGGAGCTCAGTGTTCTCAGCAGCATAGCATGTTGATCCACACAGAGTTGAGACAAAGGCTGTCTCCCAAGACTGCCATACCTTTATAATGTTTGGTGCAGAGGTCTCCAGTCTGGCATGTGAGGCAGTAGTCTCTGCTGGGTGATCATTCAAATGTATTAAAGCCTGGAAAAGTACTTCAGTCAACCTGGCCAAGGTGGTTTTACCTGTTAGTAGTTTAACTTACTGCTTTAATATCCCATTCTTCCTTTCTACCAACCCTATTGCTTATGGGTTATAATGGAGATGGAATCTCCACTCGATGTCATGTTCATTGCCTAATGTTGCATATCATAACCTTTGAAATATGATATCTGATTACTGTCTCTTTGATGAGGGTATCTGTACATGGTATTCAGCTTCTCTAATTCCTTAGTGATGGCAATCTGGTTTGCTTGGCAACAGGAAAGCTTGGAGTAGGCCACAGGCAGAGTCCACACAAACCAAGGCAGATTTAGAGCTCTCACTTAGAAGAAGGGATCAATATAAGCAATTTGTCAATTTCTCATTGATTGGGAACTCCAAGGATAGTCCCAGACTCCTTAGGCCATTGCCTTGGACATTGTTTAGAATACACAGGACATGCTAGTGCTGCATTAACCAAGGCACTGTATTTGAAGGGCTATCTGCCATCCTAAGCAATATGCCATAGCATCCAGGAGCTACAGTGGCCACCTTTCCTATGTACCCAATCTGCTGTATCTATTGAGGGTCCGTTGCTAGGCTCATATCTGGGATAGAGAATCAGTTTCTGATTTCCAGGAGTGTAAAGGCCTTCTGAGCTGGAATGTGGAAGACAGCAAGGATGGCCTCAGAAACGTGCAGGCGAATCCAAATGTCTCTCTACATATTCTGACGCCACAATGGTTTATTCATGATTCCCCATACCTCAGCTTCCCATGGTCCAAGCCATAGGGTTAACCCCTTTGGAACAACCAACTATTAGTGCAAAGGGCTAATGGCTAGGCTCACCTGTGATCAATACCCAAACAAACCACTCTGAGTTCAGCCCACTGGCTACTGTGGTTCATTTCTAGTCCCATTTAGCTGGTATCAGTGTTTGGCTGAATAGTAACAACAGTACATGTGGGCAGGTTGACCTACTGGATCCATCTGAATACCAGGCATCAGTGGGAATTTTCCTCACTCATAGTCTACAGGCCACTGAGGCCACCACAGGAACAGAGACCAAGTACTTGGATGATCTACTTAGTCAACAAGGCCTAGTGGCATGTATATTTCTAGAGAAAGTTGGCTGGGTGACAGGGTACTCTTTGCTATGCATAAGCCTGTGACTTAGTAAAAGTGGGAGTTTGAGTGATGGCAGAGATCGGCTGATGGGACATATTCTCAACCCACCCCTAAGTAAGACAAGAAGTTCTTACCACGATATTTTGTTCCTTTGTGAGAAGCTGTAACAGGAGGTGCACTGTGTGCACTACAAGGAGCTGTCACTATTTGGCAGGGTATTGGATAAAATCCTAGAAATACTGTCCTTCTGTCATCTCTTTCAAAGTGCCCAAACCTTCCAGAATTAGCTGTGTCTAACTCAAATGTTAACAGTAGTCCTGTCTAGGAGATGCCCAGAGCTTCATTCTGCTTCACTAGTATTTTTGCCTGCTCAAAAATAGCTTGTTGCCCTGATCCCCTATGTATTATTTTTTTACAAGGTGGTATAAGGGATGGAAGAAATACATGAGGTGGGAAATAACCCCCCACCCCAAATCACTGCAAAAGCTTCCACCTCTCATGTTCTTAGAAGCTGGATAGGCCTACACTTGCCAATAACAGCCTCTGGGACGATGTATGTCATATCCAACCATACAACTACTAAAAACCTTATGGCAGTATCTGAGCCTTAAATTTTTAATGGGTCCATGCCCCCCCTCCCCCAACTCCCCACCACATTCTCTCTCTTTGATGCTCCAATAAAGTATGCAGAGTATCTTCACATGTCAACATTATGTCTTCAATGTAATGGGCCCATTTTACTGAGGTGGGGAAGGAGGAAAAGAACTGCTCTAGGGCTACACGTCCAGGGCATATTGTGGGGCTGTGTGGGTAGTCTTGGGAAAGCACTTGAAAAGCCCATTGTTGCTCCTTCCTCTTGAAGGCAAATTGGCCTTGGGACTTGCTGTCCAGGGTTATACTGAAAAAAGCATTTGCTAAAGTCTAGTATTATATGGTACCTTCCTAGGACTTTATTCAGGACATCTAAGATAGTGGCACAGCTACATTAATGAGGAGGCATTGCTGTGTTCAGGT